AATATACATGAATATATCACAACTAATAATTTCAGTTACTTATATAAATGAAAAATATTTCAGTATTTGCTAATTATAAATATATTATACTTTAACTTAATAAGATTTATGAATGTATTTTACCTCTATTTTTTCTGCGAGAATTAAAACTAAATCATGCTGTAATTAGGTTGCTGTTGTTTTGACTTACAAATATGATCCGCCTTCTGTAAGCAGAATAAATGAATATTTATCTCGTTATAATTGTACTCGTGATCTGGCTCTTAAAATATAAGATTATAAAACGAATTATATAAAAAATAATTGTTTAATAAATCTTACGAAAGCTTTTATCCTACGTTTAATTTTTATTTGAGTAAAAACATACATACCTACACATTGAAATAGTATACAAAATGAAGTGTATTTTTAGCTTTTTACTTATTTATGTATATAAATTTATAACAGTACATTAGTTTTATTTATATTTATTTAATTGCCTGTAAACGAGAAAAATACATGTTAATTACAGTACAGCCATTTAATCTTAATAGTAAGCCATTTAATCCTAAATAAGTGTTATTTGTATAAGGTCCAGTGGGTAGGGTCAGGCTTATCCTCGCTAAGAGTACTTGAACTGATGAAGCGGTCTCAAATACTTCACCCGACCTAATCGTTATAAATGCCGTTAATACGTGAAAATGTTTCATCGTTAAACAGGCATAAGATCCGAGGGACAAGTTACTTTTAATTTCATTTGTATAATTGAAATCTATGTATATGTGTTTTAAAAAAAACACAATTCGAGATATGACCACATACGACCAGCAAAGTAGACCACAACTATATGCCTTAAGATATATTATGTTTAATATATTCAGTGGTTAAAGGGCCCGCCTCTCGTTGCCGAGAGCGCGGGTTCAAACCTGGCAAGTACCAATGTGATTTTTCGGAGTCATATGTATTTTCTGAGAGTATTTAGACACCACTGACATACGGTGAAGGAAAACATCGTGAGGTAATCTTTACTTATAGTTTCACAATTATAGGTTTGAAAACACCAACCCGTCTTGAGCAAGCGTGGTGATTAATACTCAAACCTTCTCCATGTGAAAAAGAGGCCTTTGCTCAGCTGTGGGCTCTGATAGGCTGATGATGATGATGTTTAATAAATTTAAAACTTTAAATGTTTGCTTAAGTCTAAGTCTTTTTTTATATATTTCGGTAACCATTACTATCTATGTACTTTAAATGTGACGTTTGCAATCTTCACACCTCATATATTTTATCAACACAACTACTACATACTCCCGACGTTTCCTTTATTTTGCAGCAACTATGATCACGGGCAAACGAAATGAGAAATTGGAATGCTCATCTCGTCTGTTATAATAGTAAAAATAGCGTTATAAATCCGAAAATATCTGTTTTATTTTGATTAATATTTGAGAAGGTCTTAGATCTCATTACTATTTTTATTTTTAATTTGGTGTGTGTTTTTTTGTATGTACGCATTAATTTTTTATTCATAACTTTTACACTTGATTCAGGAGTATGCATTGCGACATTTCTTTTGAGGAATATCTGGCTTTTATTCCTAGAAACACTTTCAAATTCAAGCTTTTTCTACCTAAATATACTCATTCATTTAGTATGCACTTCGCGAAATGTAACCTACTTGCAATTTTATACATCTTTCAAAAAAAAAATAATAAGAATTCAAGTGTGGAAATAAAATATCGGAATAGTGAAGGCGCGAATAGAAGCTGTAAATAAATGAGATTTGAAGGTGGTTAAAAAAATTTTCTTTATTAATTTTGAAGTTTTGCTTTATAAATCTAATCCTTAATGAAAATCAACAAGATTTGATGAACGAGGTAAAATGATTATTAAATTAAAAGGAAACGATATTTGATAAGATTTATTATATAATAATTGGGAAAGGACGAGAGTAAGGCCAATCTTTCTGATATAATTTTTAATGTTGTTAGCCATGAAATAAAGAGGTGACAAAATTGACAGATAACATATACAGATGTTTATCATCCATTTCTCTCGGGTACTTTTTATAATTGTTATCAAAACAATGAATATATTTACTTACTAAATTGTTTCATACTCCTGATATTTCTCTAAACGAGAATATATACGCGGGAAGTGTATATTCAAGCCTCTAAAACCGATGTAATATTTGAGTGGTTATTTTAGTGTTTTCTTTTATACATGATTGCATTTTGTTCGTGGCTTTTTCCACCATAACGTCGGAGTGGCCTAGTTAAGTGTGTTAAAACAAAAGATATGTTAACAGAGGCATGTGACTTCTTAAATAAAGTTCTTGTGTAATCCTTAGGAACTACACATAATTTCGGATTAAATTAGAGCCTATGTATTATTCTGATATGCAAGCTGAAAATGAATTTGTAAAGTTACATCAAAATCCACTCAATGTCTTTTGCCTTAAAGATCAATAAACCGAAATACATCCTCACTAACTTCTATATAATATTAGTAAAATATATATTATTAAGTTATCTGATACAGAAAATTATATCGACTTTTCAAAATTAAACAAAAGATTAGGACTAAATTCCGTCTTATTAAGTTCTGTCATTTTATTAAGCCATAAAGCCAAAGTTGTGGAAAACCAACATAAATGTACACACCCACGTATATTACTGAGCAGAATCCAGGGCATTTTGTTCAACTTTATTTGCGATATAAAATTAAGTATTCCATCGAGAAAATATGAAGTTCGCTGCTGAACTTTATCGTTTTGAGAACCGCAAACATATATTATGTATTCAAAAATGAATTATAATATACATTTACGTTAGGTAACTATGGTATGTGTTTAGGAAGAAATTATGTTTTGATATAATAAACTTTATACTTTGCAATATGATCACAATTGTTTGCCCTGATTCAAAGAGGAGTGTTATATATTAAACGTTAACGTCAGTGTGTGTGTCCGTCAATGGCGATGTAGTTCTTAAACTTATTGACCGATTTCTTTTCAATTAAAAGCAAGTTTGTAACTTAATAAAGTTTTCTTATCTATCTATGTATATTTTATCTATCTATGTATATATACCAAAATATATACTTCACTATAATTCAGATTAATAATATGGTTGAATAAATTGAACCTAAAATGTTAACGAAATAAGAATATATTTTATACAGAATAAACAATAATTCTAACCTATACCAAGTTAAAATTAATTAAAAATTGATGTTTTAATTAGAAATTATAACATGAAAACTTCATCGCCATAAGCACCAATCGAATCTGCTACCACAATAAAATCACGTTCCAGATGTTTTTTAATTATAATTATAATTTTAATTTGTATATGTAATAGTTCGCCATTGTTTAAATATTCAAGATAATTGCATAAATTCAATTGATCTTCTTTCTATTAATAAAACAATATGCTTTCAAATGTAAGTAAAGTCGCGTGACTTGTTATAATAATGTAATCATCAATATAATTGTGTTATTGTTAGTTATAATTTGTATTTATTAATTTATAAACTGGGTCACATCTTGTTTATTCATCAGTCTTTGCTCGGTCATTTCAAACTCAGTATAATTTTTAAAGATTACTGTCTTTTTCGTACATAAAGTAATAATGCAAATATTATTTCTTTACCCTATTCGTGTTAAGTTTACTGAGTAAAGTGGAAAGCTTGTGGATTATTGTACAAAAAAATATATAACGAAATAAAAAGTTTATTCTATGTAAACATATCTTCAGCATAATATTGAAATAAAATCTTTATAAAAGGATCTATGAAATAATCTCTAATAAATCAGCAATTTCAGGAGATTAGTTCTGTAAAATCCTGGCTCTACCGTGTTATAGCTGGATCACGTTTAAAATCTGTTTTTTTCTGGAAATAACTTCATCTTAATAATCTCTTTGTTAATTCATTCTATAAAGGCCTTAATTAAATTATGTTTGGAAAATATAAAACCCATATAATAAAAAAGGAATGTTTTAAAATACCATTAAAATATAGATAAGTGTCTCAAAAGAGACGCGATACAATCTTTTTGATTTAACTTTCATAACAAAGTTGGCTAAAAAACCTTGTTACTCGATACTTACCGAAAGTTTTTCCTTCTTATCTATTTAAATGATTATGAAATAAAAATAGACTTGGTTAAGAAATGCATGTAATAAATTTCTCTTATCTCAAAAACACCACAATCTCGAAATTTACTTCTAACCAATCAGTGCACATATTTCTAAGTTCTAACTGACAATAAATAAGTAGGTCGCTAACAACCGTAGGTATAAAATTATATACTTAAATAATTTTTATCTATCACAAAGAATGTTTACATAAAATGATTGCGTATAAGCATTAATAAAATTATTTAAATAAAATCCAGAAGCAGTGCTTTACTAAAGAGTTCATTTTAATTTAGGATTGCTAATGACAAATACAGACGCATTTATTCGAAAATGCTTCGGAATCAATTTAAAGTATAAAGAGTTAATGAAATGAGTAAATTGTACCACATTTTATGATAGGCCTTTTGCAACTAAATAGAATAGGGCAATGAAAAAAATAAATTTTATGCAGTAGAAGGAATTGCAATCAGATCTTTAAAGCTACTGTTTAAAATTTTCACTCTAAAAAGAGTTAAAAAAGAGTTTAAATATGTATAATATAGAGAATAAATATCTTAGAAGAACAATATATACAGAAATTACAGAAGAGTGAAACGTGTTTCAAAATTTCTCCTGAAACTAATGCTATTTATATGAAACTAAATATTTTTCAGATAACTACGCGTATTTAACTATTTTCAAAAATCTACATACACCCGACGTTTCGGTTACTTTTTAGCAGCAAGCAACGTCGGGACTATGCAGTTTTTTACTATAATAAAATACGCATAATAATACGAAAATATCAGTATCATTTAAATTAATACTCGCGAAAGTCTTACTTCTTACATCTGATTACTAATGCTGTTTTCGTATCGCTTATGTCTAAACTGTTCGCCATTAAACTTCCCTTATTTCGTTTTCATATTTCTCAGCGTACACTCCGTCAGGATCGAACTTGTCAACCAATTGCTTCCAATAATCACTTTCGTTTTTTATCAAATGTTTTATAACTTTACGCACGCCATCCTTCTGTGTTTCAGTGCATTTGTCGCAACCGCTTTGAAGAGCGTCAGTTATATGAGCTGTAAGAAATGTTTCTGTTAGATAGAACTTATGTATAGGACTTACAATTTAATTATTTTGAATACTAGAGTGTAAATATATGGATTGATTATTTAATGATATATAATTTTATGTATAATTTAATAACTTAAAAAATATATAAAAAAGAAGCGTCAGATTTTCGCGTGTACTCATTTAAATGAAACTAACAATTTCGGATAACTATGCGTTTTTTATTATTTACTCATAATCTGTTACTTACTGGCAGACACTTATTAGCCGTCAAGAAAGTTAGTTACATATATTCAGCTTGCTTTAAATGCAAGCTGTTGTTATTGAAGACAAAATTTTGCTTAATAATCTTGTTTGCCAGTGATCACGTTTGCTCTAAAGTAACCGAAACATCGGGACTATGTATTTTAAAAATAATAAAATAACGCGTAGTAAACCGAATAATATTAGTTTCATCACATTGACGGGATGATTGAATTTGGAATGAAAACTTACATTTCAATTCTTTTCCCTCCGGTGTGCATCTTCCCTGATCTAAGACACACTTCACGTATGCTGCTAGAAGTCTCTTATTTGAGAGCACGTCATCGATATTAACTGAGTCGTATCTCTTTTCGTATGTTTGCGTGTTTATTGTTGTGAAACACGTTACCAGGAGCACAGAAATTGGGAAGAGGTCCATTCTGAAACACCGATAAGGTTATATCACGTTACAGTGAGCATAAAGATATGGATGAATATGTTTCTAGTTTTGGGGGTATATTTAAGTCTACAAGGTCTATGTGATTAGCGTATTATAATATTAAATTTAGAAATAAAAAAAAAAAAACATGTACAAACAGAGAATTACGAAAAAATCCCCGTTTATGCATTCCATAGGTACATTTATCGTCCTAGTTTTTTATTTTATGATTGAAAATCAATCGAAATAAATAATAATATTTATAATTTCACTATTCCAACCTGCAATTTGCTTCATTTCGAGTTTTAGGTTACAAATTAGACTTATTAGACTATCATGACTCGCCGCATTTATTTTATTTGATTTGGAATACAAATCCTCATTAATTAATCACTTGTATGGAAAATAATGTGTAGTATAATAATTATAAAGTATTTCATAGTAACCATAAAGCGATTTTTTATTTATAATACATTTTTCTTGTTTCAGGTAAGCACCGGAACTGAACGCGATAAAATTTTGGAAAAAACTTACATTTAAATAATATAATGATTTTCAGATTCCCTTTGGATTCTATTATTTTTTGATTAATTAATTCCTATGAGATTAAATTGTTATAAAAACTGGAATTTCAATCCAAAAATCAATCATTTAACACACATTTTATCAAGTCGCAGATATCATTGTAATACTTACATTGTTCATCTAAAATTTCTATGAAAATAAATAGAACTATAGACTTTCACGTAACAACTCCAACTAAAGTTGTAATAATATTTCTTTTATATATAGGTCCTGTTACATAGAACGATCTTGACCGAGAATAAATCTTATTAAAATTTAATAACTTAAAACACGCGATGTCTCATTATATAGATTAATTTATTGTCAATTACAGCATCAATATTACAATACTTAAAATTTGTTTGATAATCGTCTCAAAAAAATTATATATTTTATTGAGGTTTACAAGGACAAATTAGTTTACATTAAATGGAGCCCTGTTAACTTAAATGAAACTAACACTTTACATTCTAAAGTTATGTGTGATGGAAATGTCATTTTCACGGTTGTTGCAAAGTAACTAAAACATCGGGAGTATGTATCTATTATACATTTAAAATAATGAAAAAGAAGCATTAATTATATCCAAAATATTAGTTTTATAAAATGAGATGTCGCAAAAGTTTTAGATATCACTAGCTTTTGCCGCGACTTCGTGCGCGTGGAATAGTGACTTCCGGCAGATTTCTGGTTCTCCCCACATAGTTCCCGTTCTTGCGGGGTTTTCGGAATGGTCGAGTTCCCGTAGAATTTTCAGAATAAAACCTATATTTTTTTTAAAATTCACAATGAAGTACTCTTAACCAACAACATATTTATTTGTTAATTTGAATAAATATTAATATTATTATTATGTTGATACAACTGAAACAAATTATTTCGACCAAATTTGGTACCATAAAAACGGTTTTTGTGAGTTAATCTTAAAAGATAGACATGTACTGTCGCGGACTGTTTTTTAGATCATTAAAAGAGCTATTATTCTTTGATACATATTTTTGTGTATCTTGAATCGTTTTCACGGCGCACGCAACGGAAGGCTTCAAAGATGAAATAATTTCTCCCGTTTTTTACACATTTACCACTATATCTTTGCTCCTATTGGTCGCAGCGTGATGTTATATAGCCTACAGCCTTCCTCGATAACTGGACTATCCAACACAAAAAGAATTATTCAATTCGAACCAGTAGTTTCGGAGATTAGCGCTTTCAAACAAACAAACAAACAAACAAACAAACTCTTCAGCTTTATAATATTAGTATAGATTAAGCCTTTTTGATTTTTTTATTTAGAGAAGAAATCTTTTACTAATTAATCCTTATTTTATATTAAACTACTTCTCACAACACTTCAACGAAATGGATTGTATGTATTTTTTTAAATTATTTTTATTTTATTTTATTACATCGTGTGGACGACTGGACTGGAAGATTTTTTATCTTATTCATTTGTTTTAAAACATGAGTAATTCTATATGGGTTTTCTTTAAATTATGGTTTCTGGGAGCGGTATATACTGTTTCGTCTATATTTTATATCAACGACCTCGTCTACAAACGGCTCTGTAGGGACCTTCAATTTATGGGAAAATTTATCAACAACAATCTTATGGGAAATTTTAACTTTAACGTCACAATTATGATAAATTAATATTCATTTTGTATAACACATTTTTGCGAGATAAACTTATAATGTCGTTTTCTACCTGGCAATTTCCCGGCTATAGCCAGGGTCTGCCTTACATGTTGTGAATAGTTTTGGCTTATTGTTTTTTATGACCGGCCGCCTGCCTGACATCAACCCTCTCTTGGGAATCAGCATTAATCAGTGATGCCTAAATACTCTTAGAAAGTACATATGACTCGGAAAAATCACATTGGTACTTTCCCGGGCCAGGATCGAACCCGCGCCCTCGTGCATGAGAGGCGGGTCCTCTAACCATTAGGCCACCACTGACTGTAAGATAAACTTATAATCTAATACCCAGTAATATATCATTTTAATTCGCTGGCTTATTCCGTAGTTTTATGCGCTATAAATATCTAATAAATCCCAGGGAATGCGTTGTTGTAAATTATGCATATGTAAATTATAAAATGGAATAGAATGGAATATGGATATTTTGTTAGCCATTTAGAGGTATAGCATGTTATTTATTTTATCCTGTTACAAAAGAATTATTACCTCCAAAGAAACCCCATTTTTACCATTGGCCTTTCTTGATATGTATAAATTATTCAGCAAAGAAACCTATGAAAGCTATTTACATGTGTATCAAATATTTCGTATATCGGTTTTATTGAAGAACTCCGAAAAAAATAATTTTGTATAAAATCATTGGTGAAGAATCTTTAAGGCACTAAGGCTGATTATTATAGTTTTAATTTTACGCATTACTCTTAGTCTATCATGTTATATAAAAAGTTTTATAACGATTGAAAAAATATAATTCAAAACCTTTCCTTATATTTAATTTGAAAAAACTAAATCTTCTACAGACTAAGAGTATTAATCCTAGAACATAATGAGATTTAAAGCGCATCTCATGTTGCTGGGAATTCTTCCCGACGAGATTTAACTCTTATACGTTGTAGACTTTCAATATAGAAAATTACTTTCAGACTTAAATTTGATTGAAAAACAAATATCTTTATAGCAAACATGTTGAAAAGTTTGTCCGTTTTAATGTAAATTGGATAAAAATTGTAAATCACAAATTATCTTTTTCAGAATCAAAGGTTTTTTTAATAATTATGATAAAAAGTTGAGCTCTTTTTTATAATGTTTTAGTTTGTAACTTCAACTTCTATAATCGTCTTTCAAACTAATTCGTTATTTCATCAATACTGTCATGATACAAATGTTCAAAAGTAACCAGTCATGAAATTAATGACTAACTTTGTTAGACGGATTTCAAATCGGATTGTTACTAAGTCTCTTGTTTTGGTAGTCTAACAATATTGTTCATGAGAGGTCACAGTAACTGGCTATTGGAATATAGAACTTGAAACGCTTAAAGGATTAACAAGTATTCAGCCTTTTATGAACTCATTACTGGTGCAGCCGACAAAGAATTTTTCACCGGATCATCAAAATTCTTCTCATACTTTGAACGTTTTAAAAATATTCATTAACGATCTTATAACTGCTGCGAAGGTGGAATTTGAATTTGTATGAAATATTGTAATTAAAAACTTCCAATGGAATATATTAAATTGAATAAATGAAAAATAATACATACTTTTAATGATTTATATTTGTATTTTCGACTTCAATTCTGTATTTTAAGATGTTATTCATTTCATTTTATTTTGAAACTGAGAGATTTTAAATAAACAAAATGTTATCCAGATTTTAAAGATGTGATTGGATACTATAATGTACAACTTTTGAGATATTAATTATATATGAAATTTAATTTAATTCTTTAAATTTTGACCATTTTAATTAAAATTTTTCTCGTAAATATATGCGAAATTCGATAAACTCTTCATATAAGTAACTTATATCTTTAGTATTGTATGATTATATAATCATTTGAAAGTGCATCTTGTTTCTTTAATAATACATGTAGTAATGTTATCATAATGCACACTCCTCACTTTGGAGCTAAGTTCCACGTTGTTTGAATATAGTGATATTAACACAATACTACGAAATCCCTACATTGTCTAATACTCTTATTCTTATTTCAGGTAAGTTTGTTTGGTTAATGAATGTCACATATTGACAGTATTATTAAACTACTGCACGGACTTTAGTTTTGAAAATAAAGAGGGTCTTTTAACTTCTTCTCGTATCGAAAATAGTTTGATTTTTAACAATTTGTAATATGTTATTTGGATGCAATATTTTCTTTGATACTGTGCTTTATTTCATGTGCGTATTTATTATACTTACCATATTTATATTATATTTATACTAGTGTCATATGTCTTATGTAAAACTTTCAAAATTTTATTGAAAAAGTAACATTTTTTGCCTATTTTCTGAACATATTTTAACACTGCAATGGATAACATCTCTTTGAAACTTTTCTATGTAGTTTGTTTAGCAGTACATAATATAACTCAGTCAGTATATTCAAATAATTTTTTATGAAGAGTATATTTTAACAATATAAGGTAAAATTAAAACACATTTCTGTTGAATTTATTTTGCATTACAATAAATTATTTTGGTTCCGTTGCTAACTATTTAATTTATGCTACCAACTTTTTCATCACAAAGCACTAGCTGTTGTTAAAAGCTTTGTTCTGTAAACAAAAGTTGACTGTAATTTAACTCTCATTTTTGTTCCGTATCCATAAGTACAAATTTTTCATCGTTTACTTCTTTTCATAGTTTTAATGTGGTCACGACATCAATCATCGGATGACGTTCGAATTTTGATAGCAGTTGGAATCTATATCAAAAAGGAATTATCCATACACGGG